CGCTGCTCGATTATTTGCTGAAAACTGCCTGTATCATCGACGTGACTTCGATCACAGTCAACACGCGAGATGCACACGCCTAATAGCAATGACGGCAACTTCCCTCACGTTGTCTACTTCAGATTTCATAAAAAGCATAACTTCGCCGGTTCCGCCTTCATCTGCGTTGCGCACAAGCCTCTCTAGTGCGAGAGCCGAAACGTCTTCAATTTTATGAACGCTCTCCATTTTTAATTGCGACCAGTGTCGTCATTGAGGGACACAATTTCCTATTTCTATGCGCTGATACTACGATATGTTGTTTTGTTGCTGTGAGAAGTTGTCTGTCTCAGTAAATCTCCTGCATTGTGCTCTAAAAAAATAATTTCGTCTGCATACAGCACTCTTGGGGCACCCTATGGTCTTTATAGATGTAATATAAATGAAACCTTCCGTTCTTCTTTGTATGCCTTCCCCATAAATTTAGTGACGGATACATTTCCACTATTCGCTTTAATATCCGTCCTTCCCATACCACTCGGTTGTCTCTACTTATCTTCTCCAGCAGCTCCTATGCTCTGTTGCTTGAAATATCACCTACTCATAGCTTGTCAACGTTAGGGTAAGCTGCTAATATCTAGACATATTCATCATACGTTCATTGGGTCAAACATAGCCGTTGCGCCAATACATGCAACAATTCATAGTCATCGGCACCTAATCTGGAAATATCTCTAAAGCTCCATATTCAACTACTGATATACCTCTGTGCCCACAGTTACTTACGATATATTTATGCTCTGTGTGCTTGCTTAGTCTCAATTCATACTCAAGTTCTCCCCCACATATTGAGGCAATTTCACAGCTCTCATGACCAGTATTTGGTGACATGTACACGTCGCGCCATCTCTCGTCATCGGCCGCAGTGGCTTGCCGTAACTGAAGAGAAAATAGGCGAAAAAAATATGTCTTATGAAAATGATAGTTGCCGAAAACGACTCTCGCTTATATACAGCCAACGCCTCTTGTATTTTACGATGGAGGCGAAAATTTTGTAGGCCCGTGTGCTCAGATTTGGGGGCACGTTATAAAGAACCCCAGGTGGTCGAAATTTCCGGAGTCTTCCACTACGGCGTCTCTCATAATCATATGGTGGTTTTGGGACGTTAAACCCCACATATCGTCATCCTCTATTTTATCAATGCCAGCCAGATGCACCTGATCCAACCGTTCACCACCCTTTTCTCTAGCCCTTTTCTGCTCTCGCCCATCGCCTAGCCGTAGCGTGTGTTTTGCTGTCATGGGGGAGGGAGCCCCCTCATGTAGTGCATCGTGACTAAAATCATACGAAGTAATTTTTCATTTAGTTGTGTACAGATCCATGGGGCGGCGTCTTGCATTTCTTCTGTTCACTGTGTTAGCGGTCACGCTGGCTCTGTAAAAGATACCGTGTTTTGAGAAAGAAGCTCACCATTCGTGGCGCTATGCAGCCAACCAATGAGGAAGCGTCACTACAACGCTTCTTGATACGCTGCGCCGTGATCCGGAGGCGGCGTTGCTTCGAGCCACAAAAAAGGAGGTCGAAGGAAGAAGTTTGACAGACATACAATATTGTAGTGGGAACATGTATATCGCATCTCCGGGGGAAAGCACTCGAAAGAACGTGTGGCGCAAGCAGCGCGACACCTCATGCAGCTTCGCATCGCGACCATTTCCTGAACTAAGGCGGACCGACATCTGCACTGGCATTGAAACAAATAAAGGAGGCATTCATACAGCGGACACCTAATTAAACATTGTCAATATTACAGTGCCACACAACCCACCACGTGGCTCCCCAGAGTGGAATATTTTAAAATGGGGCCCCTTGAGTTTCCAATGGTCACCGCTAAATTGTACTGGGAAGGCAAACGCCTTCTAGTGCGATGCTGCAAACTCAGTTATGGCAGAATGCAGTTTCTTCCACTGAGAGATGGCGCCACTTACAGAAGTCTGCAAGTCTTGATAATTAATTTAAATGTTTTTTTTTTACTTTCATACAAACATTAGCTTGCTTTATTATTATTTGTTTTGCCTCAGTTAGTAGTTTTCATATAGTTTAACGTCATTTCTAGAGCTGTATAGTTTCATTCATAGAGCTAACATGTAGCTACACCAAATAGTTTGATTAGGTCTATCGAAATTTCAGCTAGTCCTGACACCGCATACTGCTAACACTGTTTTCTGCATTTCTACAGCGAGAGTTTTTCATGCTAAAACTTTAGCTCTGAAACTTCTACGCTAATGGAAATAAGTGGAGTCTGAGCTTTATAAGTGATAATGCCGCTTATGTAATGCAGTGCGTCACCTTTCTATGTAACCGTTTTTTTTTTTTCGGTGAAGCTTACGAATGATTCACCTAATGTGCCTGTGGAAAACTATATAGCAAATCCCTTGTCCTATCATATGTTGTTATGTTTTAGATATTTCTATTTTTTTTCCTTCAATAGGCTCTAACGGCGCAAAGCTAACGCTATTTTCTGTTTTTCTACAGCGAAAGTTTTTCATGCCACTGTAGGCGTTATATGAAACGACCTCACAGCGTCCGACGCACCCTCATAAAAAGGACGATGGACATGTGTTGTGTAGAGTTACTGTATACACTACCTGTACGTAGCAGAGTTTCGCATAGAAGTCGCCGCTCGCGCCCCCATTTTCGCCAAGCGTGCTCGCGTGCGCAAAAAGTGTCATTTTGAGGAAACGCCATCTTCACGGCAACGCGGGTGCTGGCGACCGCCGCACCACTGCCACAAGGAGGATATAAAGATTTGCTGGAGTGGAAGCGACACCCGTCAGGTGACGCCAGCGGCCGCCATCTTGCCGGAGGCAGAAAGCGCGCTGCCGGTGTGTCACCTCCACGCTTCGTTGCTGGTGCACGCTGTTCTCTTGGAAGTTTTCAATGAGTGCAAGTCTTGCTCTTGGATAATGTGCCTATGGTACCCGCTCCCATGGGTACGCATAGGCGGCTTCCACTCTAGCAAGTTTTTATATCCTCCTTGCACTGCCACCACACCACCACTGCCCAAGATGTCCGGCCAGGCGATCAGCTGAGTGCGGAATGTACTTCATTGATGTTGTGGCTGTGTGCTGTGTTGTCCGTTTTTAGTGAACGTCAGTGTTAGTGCTGCCTGTGCGACGTAGCGCCGTGACTTAGGGCTCCGAAGTTGCGACGATGACAGGATTTTCGTTTGCTTGCGTTATTTGTAAAACACGACTTTTTCGAGCCATCTACTGAATTGTTTGAAGCACTGCGTCAAAAACTACGTGAAACGAGCGATTTGGCGGAACCTAATTTGTTGGGAATCGAGTACACGATTCTCTACAAATTAAGTCAAAGTTTTCCTGTTTGCTATTTAAAACAAAAATATTACTTCTTATGGTGACTGCCATTAAACAAGCTATAGCACCCGTATTATTTAAAGCCATTATTTGTTCGAAACTTCTCTTTCTCTTCGAATCGAAAGTCATTGCGTCAGCGACGGGTTGTAAAAGAGCGAGAAAGCGCATGGAGCCGCTGGGCCGCGTTGGCTCCTACATTCGGAAAGGGTGGCTTTCCTGCATGACGTAGACGTCTCAGCAGGCAAGATGGCGGACCTATGTGCAACTCTGCTACCTACCTGAAGGTAGCATATGCTGTAACTCTAGTCTTATGTAGAGTTACTCTATATGCTACCTAAAGGTAGCGTATACAGTAACTCTAGCTGGCAGCCTGCTGGCGGAGGTGGTGAAAATTTCTGGTTAGGGTACTCTAAAAGTGCTAGCTTAATGATCAATGCTATAGGTGTGTGATCTAGCTCATTCGCGAACTGCTAGAGTAGTGTTCTGATCGTTTGGGTTAAATGTGACGGTGGCTAAGAATATTTTGTTGGCGTGCATGCTGTGGCGAAAGCATATAACACTCAGTACACATCCGACAGTGATTAATGCGCTGTGGAAAGTTTCCACTGAGATACGGCAGGTGTTGCCACATTTCCGACAGCAGTTCTGTAACGCCCATGCCTTTCTCCTTTAACATCAGTGTGAAAGTCTCGCATGTCTCATGAGTAAAAAAGCCACAGCGTTGGCGCAAAGGTGAAGTAATGAATGCGATAGCAACAAATTGGAATGCCACGCGAACAAAGCAGATCAAAACGTGCCCCACGCTACTCACGCACAAATGACGCACGAAGCGTACTCACAGGTACACATGAACTCAATTAAGTGTCTCAGTTCTTCGCTGTGTCTGCAAAGCTCACCATTTTCGCAAATGGAGACTGTGCAGCGAGTGCAGTGATCTTTGTGCGCCCGCTGACTGCAACAGAATCGTTCCGGTGAAAGCCCAAGGCACACGATTCTCCCCACCATGAGGTAAGCGCGCGCACGCGTAAGCGTCTCCGCGGAGCAAAGTACGCGTCAGAGATGAACGCATCAGCGCGCGTGGCCGTGTCGTGACGATCTGACGATGCGCGCTGATTGTGCCATCTTGCTGGTAATGCTGAAAACCATAGTTCCACCGAGATCGCCATCGGCAGCGGTAAGTGGTAGGTATAAATAGCTTGCTGTTTTGATGTTGAAGGAGGGGCTCCTTTGTGGCTCAGCAGCTGACGCCTCGCATTCACAAGCAAGAGTTCAGACATTCGATTCCGCGTGCCGCAGTCTCTTTCTGAATTATATTTATTCCTTGCGTTTTCATATATATAGATACGTATACATATAGAGTGAATAAGCACCGCCGACTAAGGACGTCGAAGTAATGAAACGAGAGTTCCGTATAGAGCATTCGCTTTCACTCGTGTTCTCCATAGCGTGATGGGAAGGAACGGGCGATTTTCGCAAAAATGGGCGTCTGTGCAATATCGCCATGTCAGTTTCAAGGAGCGGAAATCTCTTATCTGTTAGCATTACCGCATGGTTTTCATTAAAATAGGACATTATATATGAACTGCTCAACAAAGCTGACGTTCCGTTCTGCAACATTTTTCAAGAAATACGTTCTCCCTAACCTGACTGAGTCCGAAGTCGATGAGCTTGGCGTTTCCTCTGCTGTCTATCAGCACGTTCGAAGAACTGATGTCACGGTGCAGGTACCCTGCGTAGCAAAAATAAAGAAACAATCCACAAGAGCGAATATTGAGGAATGAGAGTGCATGTACGTTGCGAGAGCAGAATCTTTAGACCGCCGTATTGTTTTCAAATGACTAAACTATAGAACAGCGAGTAACTACGCGGACAACCAGGTCAACGTATTTATGTGGTCGCTTTGGTAAATTTATTTATTTATTTATTTATTTATTTATTTATTTATTTATTTATTTATTTATTTATTTATTTAGCTCTTCCTGAGCTACAAGTATGGATTCAGAAATGCAGCGGGAGGAAAGCAGCATACGGCTTCTACACTATGATTACACTTCTACACTATATTAACGCTATAATAACGTGTTTTCTGGAAAACCCAGCTGACATGACCACTATTATGCTCCTGCTGTTCTTTTTGCTTTTTTAGCTGACAAGACATTTTGTTATCGCATTTATTTCCTTAAATGTACAAGCTGGAAGTGTAATGCATGGTATGAAAAGTCGTTTTTCAACATCTTGAAGTCGAGCAGGACATGGGCAAAGACGAGAGGGCACCACCCTTGCTCTAGAGCGCCTCTTGGCGCAATCTAGTCACACGTTGCACTTACGGTGACAGTATCGATTTACGAAATTAGTTCTAATGCTCGCAGGTCAACGAGCTCACTTATGAGTCGACTCACCAGGACTCACTCGAACTCGGATCGAGCCGTGAGTCTCAGGGATTGCGGGGGAGTAATATTTTCATGAGCCTAAGTACAAGCCTGAGTACGAGTGTGAGTCTAAGTGAGTCCAAAGTGCAACATGTATTTCTCGAGTGAAACTGAGCGAGTTCCACTTTCTTTCTCCGACCTAAAGTCCTATTTAGTCATCTTCAGCATTACTATCAGCCTTACCTGGATTTACGTTTATACTCACGCCTATTCACAGGTATTTCGAAGCACAGTCATTGATACACCGTTTTAATATTGATTTATTAGAGGCGGAATTACGTAGGGGGTCGCCTTGACCCCCTTCCCCCTTCAACCAACCCTTCAATGGAAGTTATTGATAATTATATATTCTGCTGTCATTTCTTCAAAGACAATGACCTTACTGGTTTACCAGCACTCGGAACTCGTTTTGAAGGATACTATGTCGAACGGCGCTAAGAGCACCGATTACGTGTGACAATGGTGTTGAAGAGCATTGACCCCATGGTCGAAAAAGCTACTTCTGAGCTAAGGGGCTCATGAGTCAACTAAGTTGTACTCGCTCCCACTCAGACTCACGGATCGATCTGAATCTGATTGAGTCCGGGTGGGTAATGTTTTGGTGAGTTGATTGATTGATTGATTGATTGGTTGATTGATTGATATGTGCGGTTTAACGTCCGAAAACCACCATAAAATTAATAGAGACACCGCAGTGGAGGGCTGCGGAACTTTCGACCACCTATGGTTCTTTAACGTGCTCCCAAATCTGAGCACACGGGCCTATACACCATTTTCGCCTCCATCGAAAACGCAGCCGCCGCAGCCGGGATTTGATCCCGTGATCTGCGGGTCAGAAGCCGAGTACCTTAGCCACTAGACCACCGCGGCGGGGTTGAGTTGAGTCCGAGTGAGTCCGGTTGAGAAACATTTTTGTGAAGGTGAGTCCGAGGAAGTCTTAAGCTCGAAATATATTTCATTAGTGAGTCCGAGTGAGTAAGGTCCAGACGTTTTGCCGACCTATGCTAATTATACGTCAAATCCAGAAGGAGTCGGGATGTGTAACTGTTATATTTTATTCAGATTAAATTAACCAGTGACCGGGGCGGCCGCGGTGGTTACGGTGGTCAACCACGGTTGTCGAATTTCTATTAGGACGAAATGCTATAGAGGCCCCGAGTACTGTGCGTTGTCACTGCCCGTTATGAACTGTCTCCCATAGGGCGTCGTACACAGTTCGGGTCGCTTAGGGAAACCCCGCAAGCTAGCAAAGAGAAACAAACAAAATAGCTGTTATGCTCGGGGATTTCTCTGTGTTGCAGATAAAAAAAAAATGGCCGTCATCATGAACCGGCGCGTGCTCTCTTTATCCTCCGGATCTCCGTCCATTTTTTTTTTTCCTTTTCTGCTTCGCTCCCAGTACACGTGCTGCGACTTATTCGGCATAGAAGGCAAAAACTATCATGGCCACGAGAACGAGTACACAAGAGAAAAAGAAAGATACTTTTGTGACGAAAAAGTTTCTTGACGGCTTGAGATTCGAACCTGCTCACGCACGATTTCAAAGCGGGTGTCTAACCACACGGCTATCCAGATACGCTATAGAAAGCCATAGCTTTGCACAGCATAGTATACCAAAAGGGCGGAAAAAAATGAATTAATTGAAAGTGTGGAGGAGAGACGCGAGGGTGATGAGGGAAAGAAAAAAGGGAAGCGTAAAAGCATAGCATAGAAAGAGAGATAGAACTAGAGAAGAAGAAAGAGAAAAAATACAAAGAAAATCGAGGAAAGGGACAGAAATAGAGATACAAAAAGGGGAGGGGTCAGGAAGAAGAAAAGCATAAAAACAACGAGAAAAGGAAAGAAAGAGTAGAGAAAGAGATAAAAAATAAAAATCAACGTATACGAAAAACAGACAAAGAATCAAAATAGTCATGCATTGTATATAGCAAGATGTAGTGAGGAGCCCATGTCCTGATTTCTTTATACTGGTAATGCTGCGGCAATCAGTCACAGAGTGCAAGCATGTCAGTTACAATATTATCAGCTAAGACATTCTAATAACTAAAAGTGACCCTGGAAGGTGACAAGCACTAAAGTGCGCGAAGAGAAAATTCGACGCTCGTTCCGGGATGTGAACCATTATTCGAGTGAGCATAGTTCATTTTTCTCGCGTCATTGTATATCCAATTATTGCAGCGCTGCATATAGGTCTTAGCTCACTCTTCATCTCCAAGATGGCAAGTAGGCCTGCTCTATCCATACTAAGTCACTGCCATGAAGTATCGACTGTTCTTTACCAGTGCCGTCACACAACTGACAACGTGCCTTTCGGGGTGCCGAGTCATGTCAGGCACCGAAGTCATCGCTCCGCTACACACCACCTGCGCGAGAGCTGTGCCGATGACATCATCCGACGAGCAAGCATGCCTCTACCATACCACGGAATGAGGAATAGCATTCAGTTTGCTCCGTGTCGACATGCTTCGAGTCGCAGATAGGGGGGGGGGGGGGGGGGGGACTGACGTATGTTAGAATTGCCAGTGAAAAGGCCGCTACGTGTGCTTTTCCTGATAGTATTACATATTCCGTGGTACACCATTAGCCCATCCCCGTAATCAGCTGTGAAAGCTGCGCCATTGATCTCATTCTTGGGGATATACGAACTTTATCGATGAGCTTCGTACCCTGGCCGCATGAATCTTCATCGCTCCGATGCGGGTACATAGGCGAACGCGTAAAACGTGGGCAGCCCAGGAAAACGCGCTATGGTTAGGTTGCGCTTGAAATTGCATGACGTTGCAACTATCACCCACTCATTCCAAACACTAAGGTACAGAGGGAATTTTTACGAAAGGAAACACAGCGACACGTGGCGCTGCTGGCAGCGCGCTCAAGCAAGAGCAATAGCAACCACAGTCTCATTTCGCGTCATCTCGCGGCGAGAAAAAACAACCATTCGTTGCTGATATGGAACCAGCGGCAAGATTGTGACCCCCTCCCCCTTCAAGCCTTCAAGGCGATTACGCGAGAGCCGGCAATCGCCTTGAGGGGGGGGGGTGCAATCTTTCTGTTCTATATCAGGAACGAGTGGTTGTTTTGCTCACCACGAGATGACGCGAAATGAGACTGTGGTTGCTACCGCTCTTGCTTGAGCGCGCTGCCAGCAGCGCCACGCGTCGCTGTGTTTCCTTTCGTAAAAATTGACAGTGTAGATCAGGGATTATATGAATATCTCAAGGCGATAGCTTCTTTACTTTATGAAAGGTTCGTCCTTGTTAGGCAGTCGAGCCGTGGAATTAGGTTTTTGTGGAGTTCAATGTCTCTTTGTCCAAGTTATATGTCATGGGCTCCGAGTTGATCGATTGTTTCAACTTGGTGCCTCCTAATTAGCTCTTTTGTTAGAACTACTGGTCTGGAAAACGATCATAACAAGCCTGAACCCCCTCGGCCGAATTTTTCGTCGAATAGAAAAGCTATCTTTCTCAGAAATCTGCGTTGGTTTTAATTCGTAGCTTCGTGCTGCGAACAAGTGGACGGATTTCGATTGCTGCCTTTCATGAACACTTCGCACCATTGCCGGTGTTCGCGGATGTAATTTGCGGATTGCACGGAATGCTTGCCTTTATGCTCCTTCACCGCGCAAGCTAAAGCTTTAATGTGATGCAGTTTTTTTTTTCTGGTCCAGACAGTTCGAAGCTATTCCGTAATGCAATAGAACTTCTGTGGTCATTGCAGTGCTTGTTTGTGTACATGTTAGTGAAGTTCTAAATCGCGCGCTGATATGAATATTGTACAGGCACCAGTGTATTTCCATATCCCGAGCTTAATGTGGCTCCACTGCCACGAAACATGACGAAGTAGGTAGCACTGGCCACCCGCGGTCAGCCAACTGTAGAATGGTTTTTAATTCGCTGCCTGGCGACTTCTTGGGTGCTCTTCCCGCACCAAAAGGGGATACGGCACAGGAGTGCACCTACAATATACTAGCTGTAGAGGGCAGTCTAAGGAAGGGTGCTTGCCTTTTTCGTGCACGTGCTGGATGGCCAGAGCAACCTGAGCCGAGAGCAGGCGTGCCGTCTCCTCCTTGAAGGGGCCCTTCTTGCGCACCAGGTCGCGGATAGAGCCCTCGGGTAGGTATTCCATCACGAAGCACCAGCTGCGACAGCCAATCTCTCAATAAAAACAGCGTGCACCAACGCGAAGCACGAAAGCACCGCCACAATGGCTATAGGCATGCACTCGCTCTTTTATCCGTAAACGTCGTCAAGGACTTCTTTCTGGGTGAGTTGGAGCTTACATTGCTTAGGTGCACATGACTGTGGCGCTAAATACATGTTGTGGAAAAGGGGAGGCAGAAGAGAATGAAGTGAGGCGCCGGAATTAACTGTTTAATGACAGCCTGAGAACCGCACAGTAAAAAAAAAAAAAGAAGGCATTTCAGCGCATGCGTGAACGGCCAACGCATGACGTGCAGCGACATAGTCAAGAGAACGTATTATCGAGTAAGCGCATTTTCGTGTCGCTGACACACACAAAAAAAAAAAACTTTTTTTTTAAGAATGCTTCCAGTCACTCTGTAGCAGTTTGTTTGCTGCTTTTGCCGAGAATCGGCGCTAGCGCAAAGCATGCCGCGCGTTACAATCGTGGGGAGATTCTCCCTTACATGTTCTATTTGCATGCTCCTTCAGTCTATATATCATTAACTCAACGCCTTGTTTGTCGATGTAGGAGTTGCCGCAGCTTAGGAGTGCCTCATATATTACCCGTTCGCTGTGCTAATCTCCCAAGAAGCAAGAAAGAATTGTCACAGTACGACTGATTGATATGTGTGGTTTAACGTCCCAAAATCACCATATGATTATGAGAGATGCCGTAGTGTAAGGCTTCGGAAATTTCGACCACCCAGGGTTCTTTAACGTGCACCCAAATCTGAGCGCACGGGCCTACAGCATTTTCACCTCCATCGAAAATGCAGCCGCCGCAGCCGGAATTGAATCCCGCGGCCTGCCAATCAGCAGCCGAGTACCTTAACCACTAGACCACCGTGGCGGGGCTGTTACAGTATACGACTCAGCACACTGTGAGGCATGCTCTGCTTTACTTGGGGTTGGCCTTGCGCAGATCCTGTGAGCATGTTATGTAGGCTACTTTTAGCTATCACCTTTAAAAACTCTCAAAAGCTGATTCTCTCAGTCTGCCTTAAGTTCCGTGGCTGCATCACCATGGTAGAAGTTGAAAGCCAGCGCTGCCAGTGCAAAGGCGCACGTGAAGGAAAAAGAGCGGGTCAAGCTGGAGGTTGTCCCTTATATGCACCGTGTTAGCCATAATCTCATGAAGGCGACTACCTGTTACCAAATCCCGTTCCCTTTTTTTTTACCTCCCAACAAGTTCACTCAATCGTACCCATGTCTCACATGCGATGAGCCGAAGGGCTGCCAAAAGCAGCACAAAAAAAAAAAAAACTCTTAGGCGCTGAGAACGAGGGTTGATCGGTGAGATACCCCTAAGCTGTGGCAAGTCCTATATCGGACTAACAGGACGTTTCATTAATGATAGACTCAGAAATGATAGACTCAGGTGGTCTAGTGGCTAAGGCATGCGGCTGCTGACCCGCACGTTGTGGGATCGAGTCCTGGACGCGGCGGCCACATTTTCGATGGAGGCGAAAATGTTTGAAGCTCGTGTGCACAGATATAGGTGCACGTTAAACAACCCCAGGTGGTCGAAATTTCCGAAGCCCTCCACTACGGCGTCTCTCATAATTTAATGGCGGTTTTGGTACGTTAAACCCCAACAATTATACTATTGCGATAAACTCAGGGAGCATGCCAGTATTATATACGCAAGAGATTATGCGCGTCTTCCCGTGCATTGTAACGCCTTCAGATGGTTGATTTTCGGCAAAAGCAGCAATGCATTCACACTGCCAGAGAGTTGTTGGAAGCATTTTCTATACAAAAATAAAGGGTCCGAATGCTGCAGTGACACATCTGTAACTTATTATTCGACAGAAATGCACTTTCTCGACAATATCTTGTCTTGACTATGTCGGCGCACATCATGTGATGTTGGCTACTTACACATGCACAAAAATGCCTTCTTTTCTTTGTACGTTTCTTAGACTGTCATTCAACAGTTGGTAATTCGGCGCTGCACTTTCTTCTCTTCCACCTCCCCTTTTTGGCAACATGTGTTTTGTGCCGCAGTCAAGTGCATCTCAGCAATTAAACCAGGATTTGCTCTCGCATGCCAATACGCAGCGGCCGCGCCGCTTTCACCACTGGTGGCTGCCGGGTACCGTACTGGAAACAAATCACGAAGAGAAATTTTTTCCTGACGTTACTGTTAAGGTCACCAAATAAGGACAAGAACAAAAAATTGAGAGGAGGAGGGTTGCCGCGGAAGCTCTCCTTGCCTACTTCGCATGCAAGCGGAATGACCTCGTGCCTTCTTTCAGGTCCGCTGGCTGCTTGGGCGATGCGGCCATGAGCAAAATTTTGTTGTTAACCATATTGTAATTCTTTCTTCATGTGTTCTGAAGTGGCGAAGGTGAAGCTGACTGGTTTCTCCGACTAAACTCGATCAGCACAAATAAAATAAACTTTTCAGTTTACGTTTTATATGAAAAAAAAAACAGACATGCACCTAGTGGGAAAGTGTCATGTAAAACAATCTTTAACCCTTTCAGACGCTACCAATGCAGAACTGTCTGTAAATGTGTCTAATCACTACAATGTTTCCTCAAGGCACTCAATATTCCAAAGCTACACGAATAATTCAATAATTCTTCCATTTATGCATGTTATAGTAGTTCATTCTAATTAGGTTGTAATTAGATAGCTCTACACCCAGAAGATATTGATGCTTATTTTTAGCATACCCAGAATAAAATCTCAGGTTATTATATTGAAAATTCATTTTTGGTTGTGTCCATATTAAGCTAAGAAAAATTCTGTTTTTCACATTGCTTGCACAAAGCGGCACCTTGCACGATTCGTCAAACGTAGTAGGGCCTTCAGGAAAGTGATCATATGTATCAGTAAACTGCACAATGAAATTAACTGACAGATTTAGTATGCAGGAGCTTCAATGCATCCAAAGTACGATATATCTTGCTCTTTTTTAGCCTCCACTTTATGTAAATTGCAAAAACGAGTGTGCACAATTGGTGTACACAATTGTGTACATGGCATCTCAAAGAGTTAATTTACAACTGACGATTGGACATAATGAGCAAATACTGAAACCAGAATATCCAAAGCAATGCAAAAATTTTGAACTATCACGGGTAAGACGCGTCGTGTTTGACCCAGTCACGTCTGTTATGACGGCGCACATGGTTTTCTTGCAGAACTTCAGTACCAAACAAGACTGCAGTTCAGAGGCACGATTAGGCTTGAAGTGATCAGAACCTTTTGAAGAGAACTTCTCTGGAAAGAGTGTTTCGGCAAGTTAGCTTGTCGTCGTCAGGGCCAAAGCGTTGCCCTGACGAAGAAAAGTTTCCTTGTCAAAACGTTGGCTCCATCGACATTAGCTGCAATAACTTTTAGAAGCATTTAGTCCCTTACATGTATTTGACTGAGAGCATTAGAAGTAAAAACTCAAACCATGGCTACATGAATTTTATGAACAGGGAGGAGTCTATAATTACTTGATATCCTTTCAACTATGTATACATGCCAAAATCAAAAGAATAAAAAATTATTCAGCCGAGCCAACACGAATCGAAGCATTTCATCAAACGCATCTTGCCGACAGCAACTTGGCCGCAATTTTGACCAATTATTCTAGCGACACTGCACTTCTGCCAGTCTAGTCAGGCTTGCACAGAACTGGGTTTGCTCATGTACGCATGCAAAATCAATACTTGATCAAAGAATGGGTCCGAACACTTGTGCTCACTCGTTGCTACTAGGAAACCTCGAAAACGTTCGCCGATCTATAAATACCGAGGTTAACACACTGTATAGTCGCGCAAAACATGAAGCCCCGATTTAGCCAACTTCCTCTAATGCATGGTTGACCTGATTCACCTGGCCTACTGCGGCTTCCGCTCACTGCACGCTAAATCAAATCCCTTATCTTTGCCGCATTCATGCTTGGCACGCCAACCGAGCGAGACAACAGTGAGTCATCCAACATACGATATCGCTGAGCAAGTAGCAAGGGAGGTGGATGCAATTAAGTGCTAAACACAAGTCTTCCCGCGCTTTGGTCGATTCAAAAATAAAATCGTAATTTAATGAAAACAAATGACAAATGAACAAACGATGACTTCTTTACAGTTGATTCAATTTTCTTTATGAGTAAAAACTGGTGAAATACAACAAATCCGAACATCCACAAGGGTGCTGCTTCTTTGGCGAGTTGTAAATTCACAGCTTAATAAAACATTTGTGGCGCAACTCCGACAAGGAAAGAACTGGGGTTTCTGAAATTATTAGTAACTCTGATAACTGGAGCCCTATCCTGTCTCCTCCTTTTCTTTCCTTGTCAAAGTTGTGCCACAATTATTTTATTAAGCTACGAACATCCACGTTCACCTCACTTCGTTCAACCAGTTCTATGCCCGGCAACCGCTACGAGTGCACAAGTTCCCTGAAACTGAAACTACCACTGAGTTTCCGGGGTCTCATTAAAGTCCGTTGCGCAAGCACTCATCTTCAAGTCTAGTGCGTATGTATACATAAAAAAAAATCTGGAGACAGGACTACGAAAGAAACGATAACATTATACTCACTAAGCACGTTGCATGTTAAATAGTAACTACGCTGGAGAAATATAGAAATGGATGGGGGAGGGTTCGTTGCAGGATAACCACAGCCCATTTGTCACTGAGTGCAATAAAAGGCTGACTAAGTATACTAACCAGCAGCTGTGAACGCTTCCTCGTGTTTCTGAAATTATTAGTAACTCTGCTAAAAAAATACGAGCGATCAAAATTCCACGACTGCAAAAAAAAAAAAAAGATGGCACCGTGATGCCACCTATTTGAGCCTCTATAGAAATTAAGGTAACAGTTATCACTGAACCGTTATCTTTTATAGTAAGAAACATTTTGTTAAAGAATATTCTTTCAGCATGAGAGTAAGGCCCGCGTGCCTCCAGCCAGCACCGGTGTCCTGAGACAAAATAGCGAGACTCGGAAAAGTACACATCGCCACCACATTCAAGTGATCAGGTAAGATCTTGTCTATATCACAATGGCAGAGTTTAGTATCATCCTGCTGTTAGGCGCACCATGGAATCCGCTGGTTACGCAATGCCCAGAGACAGCGAACTGGACTCATCTGTTCCCCAATAGTAGCGGGCATTACGCGACTGAGCCGAAACACGAGCAGCCGAGTGTGCACTCTTGTTACAACGCATAATAAACGACCGCTAGTGACCTAAATAAATCCGATGCAGCGAACTCGGGCGATAAATCTTCACTCTCGCACTTTCCGTGCATTGGCATGATTTTACTTTTTTTTTTTTTGGTTCGAATATTTGTAACGCTTCTCGTTCACGAAGGAAGCCACATAACTCAATGCGCAGCCTGCCGGCTGTCCATTTGCATTTATATAAAACTGCCGGGAAGTGCGAGTTTGTAGTGTCTACCTTATGGTGAAAGAAAACCGTTATATTTCCCACCATGTCATTATCTTCGTGACATTATATGAACTAAATGAGCCTGACTTTTTGAACTTTTTTCACTGACTTAATCATGAAAGCATACCGGTAAGGTAGGCGATAAACCGCAATGCTACAGCTTCTTTTCCATTTGGGGTCATGTATACGCAATGCATGATATAACGTGCACGTGAAGCCAATGTGCGGTATCCTGCAAAGAAAAAACTTGGCATCCAACTGGTGAAACTATTATATATATTATATTTACATAATTTTGCGTATCCTGACTGCTTCGATTGACCCCCTATACGACTTGACAGCTGCTTTGTAACATATTTAATTCAAACAATGGTCACAGTCACAAACACGCCTAGCAAAAAGTGTATTTGTAAGGAACCTCGCGTTCTAGAATACGCGCATGGGAATCTCACGCAGTAGAAAAAAATATTTTATTATTATTATTGATGTGTAAACGATAAACAAGTTGGGACTGTGGCGGTTACAGGAAGAATACTGGTGATTTGTTTGTTTGTTCTCTTTATATTTAGCATCTAAATTCTAACGCCAGCACGTGAGCGTGACTTAACGAATCCCTGCAGGTGGTTTTCCGTAACGTGACCGTTGTGGCTTTCCAAAAGCCTAAGCTTTCAGAATGCAGCGGAATGCACCTTCAGTACTGTAGGTTACAACATAGGAATAAATAAAAGCTCCACCGCGTGTACTGCGACACGTCTGCTATCAATCGTTGCTGTGTTAGGTTGTTTCGGGTCTAACCATGGGCACGTTTTATGTGCTATTGTAAACACAAGGCATATTACGAATTAAGATGAACGTCGCTACTTAAAAATATTAACGTTTGGCTGTGCAGTAATGTCGGATTCTTTGCCGACATTCATCGGTAACCTGAAGCTTTCAAGAAAAGGCTAGCGACACTAGCGACACGTGTCTACAAAAAAGAAACTCACGCAGAAATATCGTTAGAGGCGCTGGACGAGATCGAAGCGACTGAATGCACTTCAGTCGCTTCGAGCGGCACGGGGAAGCCTGTTGCGCCTGAGCGCATACATTTATTGCACGTTTGTAACCGACTATAATAAATATAATAACGACTTCACCAAATCAATCACGTCTTCCTCGGGAACTTGCTTTTTTTTTTGCTATCTTACCAATCTGATCCTCACGATGATAGTCATTTGTTTTGTGTTGTAGTAGGGTGGTTTCCTAAAATAGCCAATTTCTCTGGGGTGTTCATTGCAATAGCGTTTTTAGCTTGCGGCCGGGTTCGTTTTTTACTTGCCCAATTGTTTATTTTTTGCTTGTTCCATGATAAACATTATGACCTTGCAATGGCATTGCAATAGCGTTTTTAGCTTGCGGTCGGGTTCGTTTTTTACTTGCCCAATTGTTTATTTTTTGCTTGTTCTATGATAAACACTATGGCCTAATTTTCCGTCATAGCCTAAGTACATTGCGTTATTTACCAAAAAGATAAAGCAACAATGTGGCGCTACAAATGTAAGCAACACCAGCAGGCCACGTTGTTTTGCGACTACAGTACCCACTTCACAAGATTGATTGGTCCCTTACTCTTGCGCAGTCTCTCGAAAATTTCGAAGCACGAAAGGGGGCAATTGTCTCACATACTGTTCCTAGGGAGCATTTTCTTGCTGTTGGCAAAGAAAGAAGTACTACTTTTAACGCTTTTTTAGGCTAAAGAGGGGCCCTACAACACGGCCTTGCAATAGTTCCCGCCTCTGGTGATGTGCCATCGTCTAGAGTCGTATCGGCTTACCCTTTAGCTGTCTCGAAGTAGGCCCGAAATGTGACCACGTAAGGGTGGTCCGTGACGGCCTCCCAGACAGATTTTTCTACTTCGACCCGCTTTCTTTCCTGTGAAGGACATGAAAGTGAACATAAGTTACAGGCTGCTTGGGCAAACGTTATAGAGCGTCACTCTGGCGGTGGTTGTCGAGCACAGTGATCTTCCATACACCGCAAAGGGTTCACCTTTTCTGGGTTCTGGTTCTTCTTTCGGATGTACTTGAGCGCTGCCAGCTGCCTGTTGACGCGGTGGCGCACCAAGTAGACTATGCCGAAACTGCCCCTACCGAGCACGTTGAGCGTGACAAGGGAATCGAGGTTCCAGCTGACCGTTTCCTTGGGGTTGATCCAAATGTCAGTGACCACTTTCTTGGACGCGTTCTGGGAGCGAAAGATGGATGTTTGTGGCAGCCCACCACCAGAAGCGCAAGTGCCACCTCACTACCACTCACTGGATCGTCTGTAGTTGCCAAGTACTTACAGAATCTAAAGACGAAGTGGATAAACCCGTCGGGGTTTCGCTCAATGCATATTCCTCATCAGTTTGAATTCGGGAAAACTGGAAAAGCGAGAGCGTTGAGCTCAGCGAACTACAGACGATTCCAGGTTGTGGTTTTATGGAATTACTCTGCTTAACGTACCGCTGCGCTGGTGCCTGCCTGGTCGCTCATCGACTCGGCCTTCTTATCGGCACCGTCAGCACCCTGTTTCTGCTGGTCGAGGTCTTTCTTCTTGAGTTCTGCCTTGGAGTCGTGCGAGCGAGACTTGGCCCTCATCGCCTTGGGCTCAGCCTCCGCGCCACCCTGCTCGTGATCATCGTCGTCCTGCGGCCGCCTTTTCCTCTTCTTAATCTTGGCCACTTTGGAGCAGCCGGGCTGCTGCTCCTCAGGGTCAGCAAGACCGGCGTCGGGTGGCAAAGGACTCATCGCTTCAGAGGACTTCCTGCGACCCTGCACTAGTTCTTTGTAGGCCACGTTCCGAGAGGCCATAAGGTGGCCAGTAACCCCTCGTCGCTGTAACCCAGCTGTCCGAACAGGCGGCGTTGTGTAATTTTACCTGCAGCATGCCATATACAAAACGTTACAACAGTTCTATGCCCGCAAGACTTGCGAGCACGCCTCGCATTGGTATGGTAGTTTTATCCGTAGCACTTTTAAATTTTTGTCTCTGCAAGATAACTTATAACACCTTCGTGTGATGGTAGCAGGCAGTCTCGTAGGCAGAATTTTTTTTTTGGTGGGGGGGGGGGGGAGGGGACTTGTTGAAAGCCTTGAACAGCATATATTTTTATTATTTATTATATGTTGGAAACTAGAATGCTTGAAGCTTGTGTACTCAGGTTTAGGTGCACATTGAAGAATCCAAGGGGTCTAAGTTGTTAAGCCCTCGACTATGCGGCGTCTCACATAATCATATATCGTGGTTTTGGAACATTAAACCTCATCGATAATTATTATTACTGCATCTCTAATCATTATCGAACAACGCCATTTCTCGTGCTAGTTTGTTCAAGTAGTCCATGTGGAGCAACAATTTTTTTTATCATTAGTAAATAAACCTGCGGTGCCTTGTTCTTACACGAATCACCCCGACACCACGTCGCGATGACCTCTCTTCCAGCGGGTTTTGAAATGCTCATTCATCGACATGTCGCGAGGCGATTACGAAAAAGAAAATTACAGACGATGCAATGCTTGGCATCGACGGCGACAGAAGCATCTTCTTCATGTTTGGTGCAAAACACGAGCCGAATATGTGGGCAGATCTGTGTGCTGTCGACGCATTCTTTGGTCTATTCCATGCGCTGATATATTACAAAGACGACGAAAGAAGTGCTATATCCTTCATGCCATTAGTTTGTGCAGTAAAGACTGCCCGGTATATGTTGGACACATTATCCCACATGAATGGGTCACGTGTTCCTTACGTTTTCTCCTTTGCCGGTGGTATAACAAGCAAAATACCAGCAGCCCATATCACTCCCGGTTATTGAGTAAATAATTCACAGTGGACCATGCATCAAAATACGATTTGCCGTGGGCCTTAGGTATAAAAGTACGGCCTCGGTAAAAAAAACGTGTGCGGCGCTCGTGAAATCTGTCATGGCTTCACACAAAATATTGTTCATCTCGGTCGCAGCAATAGGTGACAGCCTCTGCCGCAAGAGAAGATGCCGGGTAAGCGCTGGTCGCTACCCTTCACCGTAAGTGGCTTCCACGAGCGATTTACCGCTATTCTATGGCTGCAAGTAGCGTAAATGGCACAGTGGCTCTTCTCGCGAGAAGCGCAACCGGAAGTTCGAAGTAGCTACAAGACTAGCCCGTCACATCTCACGACACCGGAAATTCCTCGCTCAAGTCTGTTATATAGTTTCACCACGAGTGATGCGGCTCGAGATTGCAGGCTACACAGAAGCACATTGCGAACCGAGCTAATAAACAATCCTGCACGAAAAAAAAATAGACCAGGTAACCTCGAAAGCCCCCGCGTTCTTTTCCCTAAGACCATTTCGACCACAGCGAAGACTCTCAAGAACAAGCGCCGATCACGGTCGGGCGCCACGATTTCGTCGACGCGCTCACCTTCGCGTCCGATTCGGATTTAGCTCATAGGAAGAGGCAGCGGGACCGGAGCCTCACGACAGCGACAGGGCTGGCTGCGGAGCCCCGATGTGGCAGTTGCTTCGATGGTGGTCACCCGCTCTTAGAGCGAGGGCACGTGCAGCCCGCGACTGGACGTAAGACCACCAGGTGGCCAAGGCCGACATAGCCACCTTCGCTGAGCGGCACCTCTTCTTCTTCGTCACCAATATTGTGCACGAAACGAGCTATGATGGTCCGTTCTACAGACAAGGACTTTTTGTTGGGCTAGTCGGTGCATGTTTAACGTAAGAAATAAGGCGCCAATGAGAGGAAGACAAGTAGTTGGCCCATGTCACTTCTTGTGTTCGTCTTGTTGGCCCATTGTTTCTTCCGTTAGACCATACAGACCCTTTGTGCCTCTTGATAGTTATCAAAAGGCAACATACTGAACACGAGGCACAGGGTCTGACTAAGAATTCAAGTTTTCCTGTTCGTATACTCCGCGGTAAATACACAGCAAATGCGAAGAAGTAAAGGAACAACAAAAACGCCAGGCCTGCGCGGTAGGCGCAGCAAAGTCACAGGGAAAGCTAGAAGAGCGGCCTTTCAGAGCCTTTTCAAAACACCCATTGGGCAACTACTGCAAGCACACTTTCTTGGTACCCGCCGGCATTCGTTATGCTATTTTTCGTCATTCTTCTGAGAAGCGTGGTATCCGCTAAACACTTGCTAGGAATTCTGTGCCAATTGTCCATGCAGTGGCTGACGACGATGAAGAATTGTGGCTGAAGCGGGTATGCGCCACAGCATCTGTGTCAAAAGAAAAGGCTGAGGTTGGCATCTTCTCTCCTTCTTTGGACTGGACCTTTTCGATTCGACTCCCAGATTATACCCCGGTATTCATTGCAGAATTATTGGCCATTGTTCTTGCCCTACGCAAATTACCCTCAAGCGAATCATTAGCAGTTATCATTACAGATTCGTTATGAGTTTATAATGCTCTTTCTGCGGCAGCAAATTCAGAGCTGATGAATACGTTTCGGCATTTAGTACCGAAAAACGTAAAAAAATTGCATTTGCTATGGGTACCAGGCCACCGCGGATTATATTTGAACGAAATGGCGGACGCTTTAGCAGCAGTATCCTTGGGTGGGCCCACCATCCCAGTTTTGCCAGATACGGCTTACGTAACCGCGCTAAGGTTCCGAAATGCTTGCCTGCAATGGGTAAAAGGTAATTTGGATAAATTCAAAGATTTCGAGCATTTGAGCTATTGCTGGAATAAACAGTGGTGTGTATCTCGCCAGTTAGAGTTCACTTATACCAGATTGCGCTGTGCAGTTCCACAACTAAATTATTACCTTAATAAAGCTCGGCTCAAGGCGTCACCGCTATGCATTTGGTGCAACGAAATTGAAACAGTTGAACATTTCTTTTTATTCTGTCATCGTTACTCTTATCGGAGAAAAAGATTTTTATTAGCCCTATTACAAAAGCTAGGAATACAAGTAAATCTACCAGTAATTTTATCACTTGGCGTAACTTCATTTGGTTACTGCCACAGGGATGTATGCTCCGCTGTGTTTGATTACATCAACGCAACTAAAAGATTACCATGCTAGTGAACCCCTACCTTTTCAGATCTTTAGTTTAGAATTCGTAGTTATGTCTTTCAAAAACAAAAGATGGTTTGACCGCTTTCTCAGCAAACATTTTTGTTTTTGGTAGTATTATTTTAAGCTACTTTTTCAGATTGGCTTCATTTTCATTTTAGTTTCATTTAAGTATACTGCCGCCTGGTTCTTGGCCTATCCCCCTTTGTGGGTTAGCGCCATTCATCAGAGGTCATCAGCATCAGTTAATACGGAAACAAGAACAAGCTTTTGTAATGGGTTGGAGCATTGGACGGCCCACTCTTTACGCTAATCGCATTGTGCGATGACTGGTTGTTCTTTCACTGTTGTAAAACGCTTTATGGGTCGCATTAACGCGATTGCTTTCCTGGAATAAAGCCTGCCTAAGGCAAGTTTGACAACAAGTCACAAACACCGGAGTAGCTCAGTGGTGTAGCACCGCAAGCATGCCGGGAGCTATGCGAGGTTTCTTTAAGGAAGTTGCGGACAGTGTCCGGTTCTTGTCAGTTCGGTTTTCCAATGAATACCTTTTTTTGGTCGGGCGAAAGAAATTGCATAAAGACAAATGCGACATGATTGTTCCCGTTCCTATGTATATGTTAATTAATAGCGGGTAGAAGGCAATGATGTTCTTAAGCGTGTTAAGAAAATGCAAATTCAGCCTAGTGCAAAAAGCTTTTTCTTTAAATTACACTCCGGAACACTACCGGTTAAGACTTTTTTAGAAGATAGAGGAGATTATATGCCATGGGGTTCAAACTGTTTGATCTGCCGAAAGCCGGAGACAATAGATCACGTTTTTCTGCATTGTTGGGAAGGGGTTTACTTCTGAGATGTTTCACAGAGAACTCTAAAAAAAGAACTTCCCTTTCATTCACTGGGTATCAGGTTTTTGACAGTAGAAAAAGAGAAAGGACTGCCTTTTGATCTTATAATGCTGCTTGGCCTCCATTGTCTATGGCTGGCAAGAATGGCCGGTTACTACTGTGACCCTGACAGGCGTCTGGCCCGTATGCTTTTCCGCGAAAGCATTGCTCTGTACATTGATATACTCAAACAAGATTTTGTTTCGTAATGGCTCTCCAGGGTCGAACCTCTGGTGAACCTGAAGGAATTTTAGCACTGTAATCACTAATAGTTCGGCAACTGTTTTGTCATCACTTCTGTTTGTATGTTACTGTTTACAGTGACTTATACTGATGTGTGTACCTTGTGCAAAACCGGTAATAAAGAAAAAAAACTGGAGTAGCTCAGTGGTAGAATACTGGGCTGGCACCCCGCGGACCCGGGTTAGAGCCCCACCATGTCATTGGTGCTAGGTAATGCCTGCCTAAGGCAAGTTTGACAAGAAGTTACAAGCACCTGCGTAACTCAATAATAAAATAATAGGCTGGCACCCAGCGGACTCGGGTTCAAGCCCCATTGTGTCATTGGTGCAAATTTTTTTCTAACCAAGATGACTATCCTCCGAAAGAAAAATTAGGTCTTCAGCCGTAAGGGCTAAAAACGGCTACCGACGCAGCTGTCTTAGGTTCGCGATTTTCAACATAGGAGCAGTAGCAGTTTCGTAATATCTGAGCTGTTTCTTAATATTCCAAACCACAATATGGGGAAGGCCGTAGTGGAGGAGGCCCCGCCACGGTGGTCTAGTGGCTAAGGTACTCGGCTGCTGACTCGCAGGTCGCGGGATCGAATCCCGGCTGCAGCGGCTGCATTTCCGATTGAGGCGGGAATGGTGTACAGGCCCGTGTGCTCAGATTTGGGTGCCCGTTA